CTTGGCATAAGCAAATCGGCCAATAAGTCAGAGTTGTAAAATTATGTGCCACATCAATTTATGACTAAGCCCGATGACTTATAAATAACGTTAATGAGCGAACGTACAAAGGAACTCGTAAAAGAGATTGGCTCCAAACAATTTACTAAACAGCTGGGCAACATTTAGTAATCAGTAAAATCACAATTGCATTTCTTAATTGGCCTCAGCCTTCTCTCGTTCGATGATTTACGTCATCATCGTCATTGTAGCGTTCTCTCATGCATTGCTGTATTCCTGTTAAATCTATATATTTTTTCCTCACCAGAAACAACAATTAATTGGTGTTATTTATAGATGAGACGTGGCAGACTGCGCGGAAGCTAAGCAGTTTTTAATCCATATACTTACGTAAAAAAATTGCCATGTTATGTAAAATTGACGTAGGCTGTAGGAACCGTCCAAGAGGTTACGAGGTTATCACGACCAAAACTATTTATAAATGCCATTTATATATTGGCAAATAAATAAATAACAAGTTAATTTAATGGTAGGATTATGTTCCATACGGCCGATGAAAAGCAGATGGATTTCAGAAGAAAGACAACGTATTTTAGGATGCGGCCAACAACACTCAACGGGTATTCTAATTAGTCATCGGTCGGTTTTCTGCGGAGATCTTCAAATGGAACGAACGCACTCGGGGTGCAACACCCAAAGTAAATATCAACAACATTTTCAGACAAAAATTCTTGTGTCGTTAAACTCATTCCATCCTCTTGTCCAGATGTTCATAGTAAAAATAATTTCTGCTCTGCAAAACGTACGCCAGGCGGTTGCACTTGCACGAGGTGCCAATGGCGTAACTATAAATAAGAGACATTGTGACAATATTATATACTCAAAGATATTTATAGTCACTGGAAGATAAACGAAAACTTTGTAAGGCAAAAACATACCAAAGTTTTATAAAGGACATTTTGGGGATCTGCAAAAAAAATATATTTTTTAAATGTTTTATATCATATTATAATTGTTGCAATAATTGTGGTTTGTTTATTTTGTCAGTAACACTCCGTTCATTTTGAAAGGGAGGATTGATAATATTACTAACAAATTAATCATATCACAGAGACTAAAATGAGAAAAAAATCTCAAATTAATACAATATTTTGATGATAAAAAATTATGCACGTTATGGAAAAAGAATAGTGATAAAGTATGTAGTTATATATTATTATACGGTAAATTGAAAAGCATGGGAACTTTCGACTATAAAGTAAATTCGATAGACCGCATGTATTCGTGTGCAAGTACAATTTTATAGCGTTCCTTGTCGGCGTTTGCCAGCAAATTGTGTCGCTCAAAAATACAAACCAGGTCAAGCAGCTGACAAGGTAGTTCAAGGCTCAACATTGAATTAGAAAAGTTGAAGACGAAACACCAATGTGAAAAATAGCATATATTATACAACGTTTCAAGTAACATTGAGTGGCTACTTAAGACCTAGGCACTTAACATGGTTCATATAACTTTGATATTTTTTGTCTTTCATGTAATATATATGTATCATAGATGTGTAAAAAGAAACAAACACAAAGTATAGAATAGTGCGGATTCGATCAGTCCGAATATACTTTAGTCCAGTTTGAAAATTTCAAAACAATCTAAATTTTAATTGAACAAACTAAAAATAAGTTCTAAAAACATAAATTATCGTTATTTCTTGTTTATACACTTAAGACTCTTTCTGCGGTTTAAGTTGGTATGTATTTTATGAGTTTCTCGATTAGTCCAGTTTAAAACAGTCCGTGATATTGGCGGAACCGATTGCCTACAATGCTTCCGTACTCAATACAAATAAATACAGTAAAACCTCGTTTAGCGCTTTAGATGCGTTCCTGAAGACAGAGCGCTAAACGCAACAGCGTTATAGGAGGTCATTTTAACACATAGCAAATAGGATACATTTTACTTTAATTTTAAGTTGTATTTATAGTAATTATGGTTTATATAAAACAAAACATTTGCACACCGAAATATTAAGCTTATTTGTGTGATGAAGGTTCTCGCTCTTCTGATATTTTTAATTTTTTTAGTGATACAATCGTCTACAGTAATTTTTTTCCCTTTCATTAAGCAAATGCTGGCGATCGCACCCAAAACTCCTCTTCTTGCTTTTGTACTCCTTTCAAAATTTGGATCATTCGATACAATTTGATCAACGATTTCGTTTCTAAACATTTTCTAAGAAAATCTGTGTAGCAAGTTATTTTGGTTCATCGTCTTCAGATTCACTATTTTCACGTTCTTCGATTCCTTGTTCTGCCAGTTCATGAAGGTTGTCACCAGAAACCTACATCTCAAACAAGCATACAAGCAACATTATTCTGGGAAAGCACAGCGGGAATAATCGTATTATATACTAATCAATGAAATGCCGCGATAATTTGAATTCGAGTAGGTTTTAAGTTTATTTAAAGTTTCCAGCAAACCGAGTTATAGCAAATCAGCGTTAAACGAGGTCTTACTTTATAGAAAATATGGTTAAAACGTTAATTAAACGTTACCTTATTTAATCAACAAAGCTGACGAACTTCTTCCATTGTAAATGTAAAGTTAAGCCTCGTGTCTAAACTATATGCATATCGTAACTACTGGAGATTTAAGCTCGAATATACTATAATTTTAAGATTTAATATACTAAAGTACTAAAATAAGAATTATTCATAAATAATATTTTTACTATTTACTATTTCATTTAACATTTAAAATAAATGCCATTTTATATTGCATTTAATTTATTAACTATATGCATATCGTAACTACTGGAGATTTAAGCTCGAATATACTATATTTTTAAGATTTAATATACTAAAGTAATAAAATAAGAATAATTCATAAATAATATTTTAACTATTTACTATTTCATTTAACATTTAAAATAAATGCCATTTTATATTGCATTTAATTTATTAACAATTAATAAAAACAATTACAAATAACTTGTTTTACCTCACAATTATATTAATTAAGTAAATGAAATTTTTAAATAATGACTTTATGTAACCGTTGTTTATAATCATAAGCACCATTACTTAGATAATGAGCCAGTTATATTAATTAAACTGAATATAAATGTTAAAACATTTGTTAAAAATAATTTGCCATTAGAAAGTAACATGCAATAAATCAATGTGAACATCAAAATTAACGCGTAAGTTATATAAATAAAGTAGCGTGTTTATGCAACTGGACATAAATGTGAGGAAATTGCATGTAAATAAACACTCTTTTCTTTTATTTAACTACAAGACACATTTTTAACATTTCATGTTTTGAAATCTTAGAGACGGTTGCGAAATTTATCCACCCACGTCATCCAAATTGTTCCGCCACTGCATCGAGCGTAACAAACACTTGGTGCCTATTTATTACACCTTTATCATTCTCATCTTTGTTCTGAACGGAACGGACATTTCGCTTTCTTAGGAGAAATTTTCATAACACATTATTATTATCTGTGTGTATTCATCGGCGTTATTTTTTTTATTCAACATTGCAATTTCATATAATATATGTTTTAATGCGGACACAGTACAGTTATGCAGGTTTCTATTACTTGTAATAATATATTTATTTAGTTTAATTATAATCAGTTTATTTATAAAATACGAGTTTTTGTTATAGTTTTATATGCAGCTGAATATAACTAATTCTAAATTTAAAATAATTTATTATACTATAAAACTGCGTTTTTCACAATATCAGATCGCGTTAAATGTTTAATGAGTCGTGAAATGACAGTTGTTTCAAAGTGTCAAAAACAATGTTATAAACTATTGGGTCTCAGTATAACTACAAACAAAAATGTTTGGTTGTGCAACTAAAAGGTTGAGAAACACTGCTATAAAGTCAATAATAACGTCAAGAACAGATATTCACATTTATATTACTTATAATTATTAAGTTTAATTAAAATTTGTTTATTAACGAAGATATTTTTTAAAATTTTATATGCTAATTAACGGAAAAAATCAAGCACACATATAACATTACATAATTAGATTGAAAATAACATACTTTTTATGTAGGTATTTAGTTTTTGCTTAGAAACTAAATAATAAACAAAATTTATTTTATAAGAAAATACAAATTGACTATTGAAAAATGACTTAGTAAGCAACTATTTTCTAGAAATAACAATTTGTCTGCAATAACTACAAGAAAACATAAGAAAATACAAATATTTTTCTCAACATACAAAACTTTATATTTTATACATTTGGTAAATTTTAATAATATTATATAGAAAGTTTTATATAAAACTACGATATCCGCATAGTCTGTGACATTTAATTCAGATAATAATATTATGAATTATGCAATTTATGGAAAATGTTGTAAACTGAAACTGGCTCAGCGTGACTTTCTATTATCCGTGTGCTTTTTTTGTTTGTTTTGTTTTTCGTTACAAACACAACAAGTCTATTATTTTTATTCAATCGTCAGCTAATGTTTACAAATTTACGAGCCGAACAAAAATAAAACTATTTTTCACATGGATCTTCCCGTCTTATTTTTCACCACTTTTTTCTTATATTTATTATAGAATATTCATACTCGTCAGGGGAATTCTAGAAGCTATAACCAGCTATAACTTATTTCCAATGTAGCTCTCACAGGTATTCCCCTAGAGACCCAATAAAACATTTTCCTTACACCTAGTGCTAACATACTAACATCTTTGTATAAAATATTACTTCCGTATAAGTTTATTAGTTCATATTAGGGCGGAATGATCAGTGGTCAGTAGCCCTTTGAAACGGTTTATTATTATATGTGTCAATTTTGACGTTACTATAAATATTATTATTTCTTAATGTAGTCTATTGTACACTATGTGATTTAGTTATTAATAGTTAGAATATTCTATTTATACAACAAAGAAGTTCTCTTTACATGTTACAAATAAACTATTAAATAATTAATTCATGCAAATTAAGTATGTTTTTCTTATAAAATGTTATTTAGATTAATGTTTGAGTACAAGTTGTTGGCTCTAAACCAAACATAAATTACAAGAAGAAAAACGGTTCCTTTGAAATTTAAACAAAATGAAAAAAAAGAGGAATGGAAATAAGAATTATATGTATGTACAGTTTGAATAAACTAAATTTACATCTCTAGGAATCTACTGGGAAAGCTTCCAAATTACATTTTTAGTAGTCACGTTTCGCACAGCATCGAATATAAACAATAAATCTTTCCGTCAATCATTTTTATTTTTACAGCTCAACCTTTCGACACTTAATCTAACGCTAAAACGTAAATATTACTTGCATTAAAAATATTCGTATTAAAGTGATTTCTCGGTGGAATTTTCCAATTCCTGCTTATCGTCATCGCTGTTGTAGTTTTTCATCGGTCCCCAGTTTAAGCACAGATGACTTTTCATCATTGGACTAAGCGGTGGAATGAGGGAGCGCGGAATTAAGAACGTGGACAGATTGAACAAGTCGACGAAGACTTTGTAACGATCGCTGCAAAACACAACGAAATGAATTGAAAAGGTTTTTATGCTTCGAGGTTAATTTGGCCCTCGGGCAAACGATTTAATGATGGCATCAACTTTTCCTTGATATTTACCTGAGAGTGGACCTCAGGTATTGGTAACCGGAAGAACCGCCTGTACCCAACTGCGACGAACCGATCATTCTCTGCACCATCAACACGTGATTATCTGTAAGAGAAGGAATCGTCATTGAGAATTAACCGTGATTTGGAATGCATATTGTACATCTCCATTTAGTGATCAGCGAATCGATGTCCATGAGGAGGGTGAGTATTTGATGGGGTTGGCTGAATCTGGGTTCGTCCCTATAAAAATTGATCATGATGGCCCCTTGTAAAGCACTGTGCGAGAATCGTCTCTCGCCCCTCGAGACCAAAGCTTTGTGAACTTCCGGATTGAAGATCGACTCATAGACCTCCTTCCTCTTCTCCAAATCAATCAACTTGTAATTACGGACTCGTTCGGATTCCACCTCCTAAAACGAACAATGCATGTATTCATATAACAAATTAATTAAATTTTTTACAACAAAAAATAATATGAAAAAAAAACGTGACCCATATAAAGGAAACCAACATAAGGGGAAGTTTGCTAATTAAAACGTGCATAATTAACATTAATTAACTCGTGTCGGATGGTGCAAAAATTCCTCATTTGCATTAATAGAAATGTTAATATTTCGTATGTTCTTGCAGAATTGTGTTTTACACGATTCGCTGAACAAATTAAAAAAAATCGTTTTTTATTTAAATAAATTTCAAGTGATATTGGTAAATTATCAAATTTACCACACTTTCCATTCAATGTTATGAAATACTTGTATTGTATAAACAAATGAACAACCGTATTTTTTAATGTATATATTAATTCAAATATTTACTTGAAATTTAATGCTTTAAATTAGTGCTATATAAATATAATATTTAAAAAACAATTAGCTGTTTTTTTTAATTAGGAGCATTTTATAATTTGAAGTAAAAGTGTTTTCAATCGATCAATTATTTTCACAAAAAAATGTACAATCATTCATAAATGAAAAATAATGAATACACATGATTATTTTACTTTTATTCACTTTTCATGTATTTAAATAAATCGATTATTTCAACAAACAAAATTCAAGGTCGAACGTTACATGAAATCAGGTCATCATAAATTATGAAAAAAATAAATAAATTTCGTTTCGAGTGGCGACTTTTGTAACAATAAACCTTCCATCAATACTCGATAAATATTTAACAGAATTTCTTGTTGCTTGAAATACCAAATCGATTCTTTCATCTTTACTTCAAAAAGCTTGGTTATTAATTGTGTTCAAAGCACGTATTTAAATAAATAAATGTTCCATCCAGCAGTGCAATAAATGTATGTAGAAACGTGCGCGGACATTTGTATTACTAGTAAAACTTAAACATAAAAGCGAAACTTCGTCGATGTCTGGCATAATATTTATTCTAGCTCGGTAGTTTCAATCTTTCCGAAATACAAATAACGATCGTTTTATTATTTGCGAAGTAAAATGAAGACACCTGCAGAGAGAATTTTATATACATTCCCGGAACGTTTTTCACTAAATTTCCATGCAAACAGCAATTTGCTGGTAGTGAAGAAGTTCAGATATTTTTAGTGACTGCTTGTGAAATTCCCAGGTAATATATCGTAAAATGTCGAATATAGTACGCAATTCTACTCACGCAACGTGGAGATACATGTTATACTCGTGTACTAAAATATAGTCATTTTCGATATTGAAATGTTATTCACAAGTGTGAATGTATGCTATTTGCATGAACGTCAAATTAAATCCCTTTATTTATACGAGATCTATAAAAGTAATTAGTCTAACACTAAAGTATTCACTAAAAAATGGATTAAAAGATTTATAGTCAATAGATAATTAGAATTAAACCTAGTAAAGTTTAGTTTAAAATTTGTTACTTAAATACTACAAAATGATAAAAATATGCATATGTTATTGCGTTAATTATAATTTCTTGTAGCTGACGTATATTGAGCAACTGTTACCGAAATTTCCGGTTGTCCCTTGGATACCATACAAATAAAACCGATACAGTATCCAGAAACCATAATTACCGGATGTTTCGGAAAACCCTGAACGCACAACAACCAAGCATTTCATGGAAATCGCTAAAAATACGCGCAGGTGTAAAAGCTAAGTAATATGTATTTACCTCTGCCGCTTTCCTTTGCTCTTCCAACAGTTTTTCTACGGCCTTCTGATATTTTCCCCAGAAATTGAAACCTTCCAATTCTAATCCAGGCGTCCGCTCTAACCACCTTTGCACCAATTCGGTCAAGGATGGTTCGGACTCGGATTTTTCAATTTGAATTAAAGCTTTCTGAAATAATACAATTTTACAAAGAGAATTGTGAAGGCATGTTAAATTTACTTCGTCGTTTCCAAAGACGCGATGGTAATGTTGATTATATTTAACCCTGTTCTCCTGCTTCAAGCCCAATTTATTCTCGAGCAATCTGAACTGCAGACTCTGGAATCCCGAAGCTGGACAGAGATATCCTCTGAAGTCCATGAAATCCAAAGGCGTCATCGTTTCCAGAATCATGACCTGATCTACTAAGACCTATTTCATAATAGACATATCAGATATGTTATTCGATATAGCGTGTATGAATCAATTTTCAAATGGAGCGGTGTCTAAACCGAAGTAATTTAATTATGAAAACAAGAAATACGATATAGGTTATTCACCTCCCATATATATATACTTTTTTGCTACCGATAAGCCCTTGAAAATATTGAGTTGCACGTCCAGTGAAAGCGATCGATGGACGCGAACATAAAAATTACGATCTGCAAAATACCTTCAGAATTAAAACGACCCTGTTCAGTCTCTTGAGGATCTCCAGCGTCTGCGATTCCTCTAAGATCTCTTTGAAGATGTCTCTAATCGAGTCCAGTTCGAATAGTATCTGTTTAAACCATAGTTCGTAAGCTGTAATTAGCATTGGATTAAATACAATTAGTATTTATTTATTTCGTTTGTTGTTCAACCTTGATGCGTAACAATAAACAGGTGCTCGTCGTGCACGGGTTTATTATTTTCCACGCTCAGCATTCTCTGGGCGTTCAGTACTTTATCCAACATCAGGTATTCACCATAAAGCATTCCTGCTTCCTCATCCAGTTGGTCCACATCTTGGGGCTCACTCCTACGTACAATAACAATACGTCAATACCAATATATTGTAATGCGCAATCATTTTCCAATAAGTATACGACTTCTGTTTATAACCATTGATAATATGTTAATACAATTTATGAAAATTACTGATTGCAACACATTACGGATAAATAGGATAAACGATTACAGATTTCCTCATTTTATATACGTACTTCTCGTAACAAGCGAAAACAATTTTATTTACAGAAATCTGTCGTAGGTTTCGTTTGGTTTTGTAGGTCAATAATTAATCGATGAATTTTATTGTAATCTTCATTATGTACGAAAACAAACGTCAATAATTATTATTGCGTAGAAACTGATATATTTAATCAATAAATTATTGATTATCAACATACAAAATTTACATTGTAATTAACAAAATTAGTTATCAAATTATTTATATTAAACTGCTGGTTTACATATTTATAAAGTGTAATTGGTTATTAATTATTATATAACGTTTATGAAATTAAATTAACAATTAATATTTTAAAAGCAATCCCTTTAATTTTTTTGAAATTAAAAAATTCAACCATGCTCGGGTGGACAAAAGTTGAAGTCTTACAAAGGATTTAAGTTTTCGTGTATATATTGATTTATACTTACGGATGTCTCATTGGGCAACTCATTGCAAAAGAATATTATTATAAATAGTTTTTAACGAAGAATGTTAGTAATCTCAAGAAACCGTATCTGCTTGTGTGTGCCTCAGCAAAGACACGAAACACAACTGAGGCTATCGCATTTTGTCCACAGCACAAAATCTAATCAGTCTTGCGTAATTTCCAATGAGTATGTATATCAAGTAATATTCTACTTTTTTGTGATATTTTAGCAATAACACTTACATACTGCTTATTCCATTTTACGAAACTTCGTAGTCGTTTTACAGTAAAACATACGAAAATTTTGTTTTACATTTTAAATGGCGCGTGTACATTAATTAGACAAACTATTGTCAAAAGTCGTATGATTTAAATATGTTATCAGTTCGTTATTTTTTTTTAAGTTTTAATTATCTGTTTTTTAAAATATTGCTATATGTGTCAGTTTATTTGTATAAACAAGTACTTAAATAAATATATTTTCAGACAAATTTAAACATCTTCCTTTTTATTGAGAAATATAGTCATACCTCTATTAATGAGTAGGATTCATTCTACGAATTTACTTTTTTAAACTTATTATAACCAGAATTGTGGCAATCAAAATCCCGACTGTATGTTATATTTCTAAATTTTAAGTTTTATTATGGATAAGTCAAAAATGTTATTGTAGAAATTCTAATAATACAAGATACTATCCGTATTTTGATATAGTCGGGATTATGGTTGTCGAGATTTTTATATACTCGGAATTATGGTTGTTCAGATTTCGATATAGTTGGGATTTAGGTTGTCGGGATTTTTATATAGTCGGGATTATGGTTGTCCGGATTTCGATATAGTTGGGATTTTGAACGTCGGGATTTCGGTTGTCGGGATTTTTAAATAGTCGGGATTATGTTTGTCCGGATTTCGGTTGTTGGGATTTTTATATAGTCGGGATTATGGTTGTCCGGATTTCGATATAGTCGACATTTCTAACGTCGGGATTTTGGTTATCGGGATTGCGATATGACCCAAAAAAATACGTTCCTTCGTAAAAAAAATTAACAAAGAAAAGTTATATAAAATAAACAGCTGAGTTACATAAAAAAGTGAAATTACATATTAAAATAGTTTAAAGTTAATCGTTTGTGCCTAAAATTATTGAATGTAACTCTGATTGATTCAAAATAGCACTTCTTCTTAATTTAGGATTATTTTCATTAAAAAATAAAACGTTGTTCATGACGTTCGTTTTTTGTCACGAACTTCTTTAATTGCGTTTACATTTTCTTTGTTTTTTTTTTCTGAAATTTTCTATGTAAATGCATTCAATAAATTTCTAACATCATCTTCATTGACAATTTCAAAATATACTCATGAAGTTATAACGACCTGAATAACTTTTTTTCTAATTGCTTGGATGTTAATTTCTTCTTCTAGTCCATATTTTGCGTTTCAAACTATACAACATTTACTAACACGAGTGGATACTATTCACATGTAAATATCAAACATCATGTTCAAAATTTATAATAATAACATTAAAAATGATACTAGATTATAATTTAACATGGTATACATTTTAAAAGGAGAAGACTAAGTGAATTGAATTGATTTATTACAATAAAATGTAAAAATTAAATAGCAGAAACAAGTACAGAATATAAGTCGATCGTCCGTGATTAAAATATAATGTATGTCGTTTCATGAATCTTGTGTTATAGGAATGTTTAAATTCAGATGAAAATATAGATAAAACTATTTAATTTAATTATAATCTGTTATATTAAAGAATTATTTGTATTTATGCATGTTCATTTTAATTCTATGCCAAATTCCATAAGGCGTTATACACTTTGGCCCTAAAATATACATTTTATTAACTAATAAAACCATACTTCACATATAAGTATTAGTCATAATACACGAAGTACTCCAATAATGATGAATGCTTGAATTTATCTTATCTATTTTGATCTGCAAAAATGAACAATATTTTTAATATAGTATTTTTTCTCTAATAGCTTTAATTAATATACATAATTTATTAATTTCTACTTAATAAATAAATTGTATCTTCTAACTACAGATTTCATTTAATCTATATGGTTTAATTTCAAATAATGAATATATTTTAAGATTGATTAACTTGTATTCTTCTAATTATATTTTCAACGCCTATTCTTTTGTTAAGATATATTTTATAATGTTCCTAAATTCCTCATTTTATAATAAAATAACAAATTTTATTATTTATTTGTACATTGTTAAGTTGTATTTATTTATTTTAACTTGAATTAATTAAATCGTTGTAATGTAATTAATAACGCACAGTAGGATATCGGGATCACAATGTTACAAATTGAATTATTTTTGTAATCCTACGAAAACATACGTTCTAGATATATACTTCTTTCAAACCTAATTTACAAACTGGCAAGCACATAGTATCTCATCATAGGCAACCTTATATACACCAAACTAAATTAAGTATTGCTGATGTGTTTATAAAGTTATGCAACTTATTAAACGTTCCTAAATAAACATAACTACTACTACTTGGATTCGTGCAGCATACAAAATTACTTTCATTTTATTTTAGAAACGTGTTATCGCCAGCTGATGAAGTTTTAGTAACATGGCGTTTTCTGTTCGCGCTACAACAAGAAACTGTAAGTAAATTCAGATTAAATTGTTTCAATTCTTTTAGTATCTCAAGTTTCACAAAGAGGGAAAATAATGTAATCAACAATGAAGAAATCTGCAACGTGTTTACACTTAATAATTATTGTTTTACTTGGTTACTATTTGAATTCGTCGTAATTAAATCATAACATATGATAGAAAATCTGAAATAAACCTTTAAATTGGTCATATTTATTGAATCTAATAAGATTTGGGGCGTTATTATGGCTGAACTTTGCCCAATAAAGTACCAGTTCAAAGTTCATACCTTTAACACCTAAAAAAATAAGTAGCAAGAGATAACATGTTTATGTATGTTATATAATTATTATTAATGTTATTGGAATAATTTCTTTGGATATTTAATATTTTTGGAAAAATACATAGTTTGGCAATGATTTATTTTTTTACCTATAAATATAAAAATCTAATAATATATTTTTATTTTAGTAAATAAGCTTCAATTTATAAGGAGGTGCTTTTCTGACCAAGCATTCCCAAAGATCACCACTCATTACACTGTCCACCCCAGAGATCAAGATCCAAGATGGAAAGGTAAACTAATTTAAATTAATATATTTACTGATTAAGATTAATTCTATTAATTGTGTAATATTGCAGAGGTAGAAATGGAAAGGTTCGAAGATCAGACAGATCTGTTGATTATTGGTGGTGGTCCAGCTGGTATGGCTGCAGCAGTTAGAGCCAAGCAAATTGCAGAAAAAGAAGGAAAGGAACTCAGAGTATGTGTGGTTGAGAAAGCAGCTGAAGCTGGTGGACACATCTTGTCTGGTGCTTGCATTGATCCAATTGCTCTTAATGAACTGATACCAGATTGGAAAGAGAAGGGAGCCCCATTGAACACACCAGTAACTGAAGATAAATTTGGTTTCTTAACTGAAACTGGAAGAATTCCAATTCCTATTCTTCCAGGTAACAAAAATTGTACTTTAGGTTTTGCATTTGATATTTATATTTGAAACTTTGAAGGTTTCCCATTGAACAATCATGGTAACTATGTGGTAAGATTGGGTCACTTTGTTAAGTGGCTTGGTGAGCAAGCTGAAGCTTTGGGAGTTGAAGTATATCCGGGTTATGCGGCTTCCGAAATTTTATATCACGAAGATGGAAGCGTTAAGGGTGTAGCAACAAACGATGTAGGTATCGCCAAGGACGGAAGTCCAAAAGACACATTCGAGAGAGGAATGGAATTGCACGCTAAGTGTACGATATTCGCGGAAGGTTGCCATGGTCACTTAGCGAAGCAGTTAACAAAGAAATTCAATTTGAGGGAGAAGAGTGAAACTCAAACTTATGGCATAGGTAAGTGATTGTGACATCAACTGACATTATCTGTATAGCTAAGCAATAATTTATGGTTAAGGTCACTATGTAGATTAGGTAATCATAATATCATCAACAATTTGACCTACATTTCTAACTTTATAATTTTCGCAGAAACGCTCTCATAATCTAATTATCACTTTGTCTAAGTTATCGACTTTGTATACATAAGTGTATAATAGGTTGCCTACATCATCTCTTTGGTATAACTAAAAAAACTATTTCTTTATAATATTCTTTTAATTTCAAAATAACTTTATTCATAAGTTCTGAATTATGTATATAATGGCAGGAAATGCTGCTTTTAGTAAAGTTATGTGCGCTACATGCATTAATAATGGTTATTAAAGTTTAAGTAAGTTGTCATTATTCAGGTTGCTTTCGGAAATTGCGGCAGGTACTAATGGCGATATGAAAATAAACATTAATAATTTAATCACGCAATAAAAAGTGTTTTACGAGAAGTACACAGCACGCATCTTCTTTGTGTAGCACTAAAATATTCATATTATCCGGAAGCTTTTATATCGTATGAAAATTTCATTTCCACAATAAAACTATGCGATTCATAAAGGAGAACAATAACTGTTGTGTTCATGTAACATATAAATGGGGGAGCATAAATTGTAGAATGCAATTTACTGCTTTTATTGTTTGTTTTGTTTTTTTCATTATTTTCGTTTTTCAATAGGATTGAAGGAAGTTTGGGAGATTGAGCCCTCTAAACACAGACCAGGATTGGTAGAACACAGCATCGGATGGCCCTTGGATAAGTTCACTTACGGGGGATCTTTTCTGTATCATTTGAATGAGCCAACGCCCCTAGTGGCCGTAGGATTCGTGGTAGGATTGGATTACACCAATCCGTACCTAAGTCCGTTCAGGGAATTCCAACGTTTCAAGCATCACCCCTCGGTAAAGCCAACATTCGAAGGAGGAAATCGCATCGCTTATGGAGCCAGGGCTTTAGCGGAGGGCGGTTTCCAGAGTGTACCTAAACTGACATTCCCCGGTGGTTGTCTGGTGGGTTGTTCCGCAGGGTTCTTGAACGTGCCTAAGATTAAGGGCACTCATAATGCCATGAAGAGTGGAATGTTGGCTGCCGAAAGTGCAATTGAAGCCATGAACGGTGAGAAGCAGTCTACGGAAAGTTTCGAACCTAAGAGCTACATAGATAAATTACAAAACAGTTTTGTCTGGAAGGAACTAAAGGAAGTGAGGAACTGCAGGCCATCTTTCCACAACCCGTTGGGTTTGTATGGAGGTGTCATGTACAGCGGTTTCTCTTTGATCATCAAAGGCAAAGAACCTTGGACCTTCTCGCACGGAGGTACATTATCAATTCACTATCGCAGTGTAATCGATTGGGTTATATTAATGCTATTATATCCAAATTAGATCCAGACCATAAACGCCTGAAGGCAGCCAAGGACTCAACCCCGATTGATTATCCTAAGCCCGATGGAAAGATCAGTTTCGACCTCTTATCTTCGGTTGCCCTAACGGGAACCAATCACGAGGGCGATCAACCGGCCCATCTGACATTAAAAGATGATACGATCCCCGTTAAAAACAATTTGGGTGTTTATGATGGCCCAGAAGGACGGTTCTGCCCTGCCGGTAAGTTTCTAATACAATTTATTTTATGTTGGTGAGCAGCGAAGCAATTAATTATTTTCGACGTTTTGGAAACGTAGGCGTATTAAATTTCCTCCTGAATAGCGGCTAAACCGCACTTTCATTGGATTTTATATGCGTGCAAAATAAAGTTTGCCGGGCTTTCGATTGCTCTTGAATTATTGTGTGGTTCGGCACTCGTAAAAGGTCGAAATTAAATTACAATATTAACTTTGAGTCGGCATCGTGGTACTTTACTTTCTTTCATATCCTTCTTTTTATTTTATTATTTTTTTGCTGTTGGTGATTGAGACGAAACTGGGGTGGTTGTCGAACTTTCAGCACGTTCGGCCTGAAAATTTAAGCAGTCAATTATCAGTAGGTTTTCGAGACCAATTTAAAGTTACGAACAAGAAACGTTGCCGGCGGCGGATAAACTTTTCGTAACGTGCTAATAATAGTACAAAAAGGAGCGGGATCTACGGTCGTGGAAATAACATTGAAAAATAATATTTAGCGGAACGGAAAGGGTGGGTAACGGGAAGTGAGAGGGGAATAAATAAAATTTTGCAGTGGTTTGGGAGGCCAGACTTGCAGCAGAAAGGGGGATGGTTCATGGTTGGTGCTGCGGCGGCGGTAGCAGCAGTGGCGGAGGTGGAGGCGGTAGTGGCGGCGTCTGCTCGCAAGTTCAAGGTCCCTGGATCGATGATTTTGGGGCTGTTGCACTCCGATGGCCCAGACTGGGCAATGACACCGTACATTGCCGCTCCTCGTCGTTTCCGATTCAATCATTAAAATTCAGTTCGGAAACAGTTTAACAAACAGACTTCATCGCACAACCAACCATCTCCAATTTTATTGCATTTCATGAAAGAATGATGGAGAATTGTAGTCGTCGATGCATGCATATTTTTCAGGATATCTTTATTTTACGGACTGCTGGATGTATCCGATCGTCACAATTGCGGGTCGCCCGAATATACTTGATGTTAAACTATTAGAAAAAGTACAGAAGGATATCCGGGGTTTATTCCGCAGTCGGGAGATTTCGTATGAATTGTCGTTTTTGCCCTCAGACATTGTAACCTAACTCGAGAAGATATCAAATGTTTGCGCAGGTTAAACACGTTTCGTCGCGAGATTTTAGACGAGGGTGTCATTTTAAGGGGGAGACCACCCCATCGTTCCATTCCTTCGTCGCTTTTCCTCTTTGATTTGCAGCAGATCCAGCGAACACGGATATATAAACGCGGTCTGCCATATTTGACGCCGAGAATATTTAAACCTATGTACCACACCTCTATATATTCCAGACAAACTTTTTTATCTGTATGAAACATTATATACTATAATATAATCAAACATTTAAATAACAATAGTTAAATCAATGATGTGCATTATTGCCAAAAAAATGTAATTAGTAGTTGGCAAGTATCAGTTACTATAAACTTACGATTAAAAGTTATAAACTCAAATTCAAGTATATTTACTTTACTATATACTTTTTAGTATAAACATCATGTCTTATGTAAGATAAACATATTTTATATTTTTTAGAATCAATTTTCTTCGTTTCATGTGTAAAGGAAAGGTGTTTTTATTTGCACGCTTGATTAACTTTCGTGACTGTGAACACTTGCGGTTAACAAGCTTCATCATGTTTGGTATAATAACTATAACATTTTACGTTGCGATTTATTGCTTTTCCTACATGATGAGCAATCATTTGTTTTACGTTCTTATAATGAACCAAATTTCCGTTGGCGAATCATAAATATACTCGGGTTTCTTATAATAAGTATAATAAACTTCATGCATTATTTACGGTTTCAGTAACCTAAGGTGCAATTACCATAAACCAACTTCATAAAATCTTGCGTACAAACAAAATCTAGTCAAATTCAATTAATGTCGCACAATATATATTGTAATTTATATTTTCTATTAGCACTGTAATTGAAATTTATCTAAAATAATAATAATAAACAAGATTTATTATATAATTCAATACAATTTAAAAAATTATATGTTTTATTGAGTTATTATATTTATTTCTTCTAAATTTTAAGCAATTTTCTTAATGATTATTTTTTACTTGTTTAGGTTAAATTTATGTAGGCGAATTTAACCAGATCAATGATTTAAATAATTATTTAATTAAGTAACAATGGATTAAAGCCAGTTTATTTTGGAGTTAAGTTTTGTACATTAGATACATTTATAATTAAATAAAACGAAGGAAATGATTAGGACTTTATAATTACACAAGTTTAAAACAATTTTCTTATCTAAATATTTGAAGCAGATGGTGGCATCTATTATGCTAATTCGCAAAGTAAATCTGCTTTATTAATCAAAATTGTTCATGTAGATTCGGTAAAACAACTTCAAACTTTCTATTTGAGAAACACTATTGAAAGAATGTCAAAGCATTATTTTTTTCATTCTTTAAGTCTTATATTTTTTTATGTCGTATAATTTTCCATCTGTGATGAACGATGGCCCTATTTGCTGGAAGCACCGAGAGGGCTCACAAGGGGCCTGGCTTGACCAGGATTCGAACCGGTGCCCACGAAATCGTGGGTAGGGCGACTTAGTCTATATATTTATAGTCGCTCATGGTCTTATATTTTAAGTTTTATATTATTTAATTGTCTTGGTGACCCTCAATATGTGCTCGAGTGTACATTCTATACTTGTCTCATAATATTAGTGTATTTGTATAATTAAAAGTTGACAAATTGTGAGAAAGGGGGAGCAACTGCTGCAATTTGATTCTTGCTTATCCGAGCAATATATGTGCATTCGCCGGGCAGCGAACATAACGGATTGTGCGGGTTGTCCTCGCAGGATGGCGCCACTCGTTTCCGTTTCTCCCATCCGCCCGGCTTTTATAGCGCGAAATCATTTCCATGTTCCCAACTTGCACATCCTTTACGGTCGTTTGTATGCTTGATGTCACGTCGACTCGCTTCCAAATTATTCATAAAAGGAAACAGCGAGCAAAAAAGGCGGAAGAACTGAAGACACTCTTTCCGTCTCACCACCTTTTTTATGATTACGTTAAACTTTAGATAGGATCGATGATGGCAAGGGAAGAGGATGTTTCGGGGTCTTTTGTTGCGCCTGGTAATTGTAATAACAATTATATTTTACGAGCGCCCTTTCGTAAATGAAACGGCCCCTGCAGTTATCTAAATGTTGCCCTTTATATATAAATGTATACATAGGGGATGGTTGCCGAATTTGGATCACCTAGTATTTTTTAATTAAAAAAGAATATTAAAAAAATGTTATTATTTAAACTGTAAATTTTACCTAAAATATTATGTAATTTAATAAAGATAATAATTAAATTAAAAAAACGTAAAAAAAACATATACGTCACCTGTCTAATAGCTGCTGGTTTATCAAGTTGGACCACTGATTTCATTTCAATTTTTTCAAATAAATGTCTTGTATACTGAGGAAACCCAAATATAACATGTTTTCATATTTGTTTATTTGATCTTAAAAAAACAAAATCATCTGATTTTGTTGTGTATGTGTATCTTTTCTTGATCAAAATTTGAAGATATTAATTTCTCTTTAATTTGCTCTAATTTGGTTTTATAAAAATGAGATAATATGTAATGCGATTTTATTACTTTAGGATAATCTATAGTAAAATATTTAATTGCTTACTGCCGGAAGACGATAATTACTCACTAACTTTTTGCAAGTTATATAAGTTATCGCATCAGTTAACTTTACGCCTAGGTAACTCATGTTTATTACCAAATGGTGCAATTACAAGTTAAGTTGCGATAGTAGTAGTCCAACCTAGGCACCGGTCCAAATTCGGCAGCTCTCCTTTATATATGTGCTGAGGGTTTTAGTTATTGTTGTTAGTTTGCAGTGTTAGCCAGCAGCACTTTCGGGTGTAATCTCGGGTTGAAATATGAATATGCAGCCACTGAAAGTGTTAAGACGCTTACGTAAGTTGTTATTAATACATCATCGTCGGGCTTCGGAGGTAGTGTATTACGGGGCCTCACACTTCCGCTATACATCACCGGGGGTGGTTTGGCTCCATGATAAAGTGGATGGCGGAAAACAAAAGCCATTTGAGCCGCCGCGGAACAGACGGCGGTTGCACGCGCAAAATTAATTGCGGATGAAAAGGAAGCAAGGGAATGAAACGAGAGAGAAAGAAAAAAGAAATTGGAGTGTATCGCGAATGTCGTTGTAGATGCCCGACCACAAAGGGACAACAAAAAGCAGTACAACGAAGACCGAAGGTTTGGTTGTTGGTGGATGGTTTGGGCCGCGCTCTTCGGAGCCGCATTCGACGGATTAATTTTACTTTATATTACCGGGGATTAAACTCGAGAGCTTCCGCTCGTTTCTCTTTTATGGCGCGACATGGAGCGGCAGGAAAAAAAGGAAACGACGACCAGAAAAGAGATGGAACGCTAAAATCATAAGTGGTTCTTTTTAACAATGCCTTTATTTTACTGGATACAGAAGAAGGAAAAAAAACATCAAGGGTTTTATGCAAGTTGTAATTCGAGTTAATCTATATTACGGATTACTTTGATTTTTGCCATAACGTTTCGCCCTCGTCGTCAACAACAACCTTTTTTTTTTGGTACTCCAAATTCCAAAAGGCCACCCATTAGGGGACGGAAAGTTGTAATGCTGTACATGTGTTCTGTGTTCCTCAGTCACGTTTTGCAATTAACGATTCTGAAGTACAGTTCTAACGTACGGCTCCCTTTTCAGCTGGTCAATTTTATCGAGTTTATATATACCCCTTAATTTCGAATATGATAAGTTTACTTCATATTTATGATGATTTGAACATTTTTATATAATACACATTCATCATTTTATAAATTCTTCAGGTATAGAGAGAAATGTCAGGCAAAAATTTCATAGATGTACAAGCGTTTATTGAAACCCTTTATATTACAGCAACTTAAACAGTACTTTCATTGTTATTATTACGAAAATAAACTTAA